ACTTTGTTTCATCGAAAAGCAAACCACAGAATGTGATAGGAGAAAATGCCTGGCCTGTGGCCCAAGGGCACTCATGCCAATGTGGCGTAGTGGTTAACGTGTCGAGAATGCAGACTGCATTATCATGGTTCGAGTCCCGTTAGGAAGGTTTATAAGACATAGGCGAGGTTGAAACTGTAGCTCACCCTGGATGAGAATGGCTTCTGGTAAACCAAGGCTATATGAAATACAATGGAAGCGCAACGCCTAGTCATATCAATGTGGGAAAATTTAACTACCAATCCCCTTATCATCGTAAGCGAAATAGGATAAATACATCTCAAACACTTAATTTAATTAAATATAACCGTTACTTAAAGCAGAGATATTAGTTCATCACAATTCAAAAAATATATACCGTTGGTAGAGTTGCGCCAAAGGCAATAATGGTATGGATATCAACAATAAATTCAAGATAATGCCTTTTTTCAATCTAATTTGTAATCACGATCTGACCTCAAGGGAATCAGATAGTTTATTCAGTTTATCTATGAATCCTAAAAGCACTGCTTATTACGCTTATTAAATTGGTTTTGTGAGAGAATAAAGCTTGGTGTGAATTAAATGAGGCCGATGGATGCAATATTATATCAACTCTTCCTATAATAGATGTTTGATGGAAGAAGGACTGAGTAGCGTAGGGCATAAAATGTGTTCCTGTGAACGTCGTCATTAGTTGAAGGTGCATTTTCCACCTATTAGAGGTGGAAAATGCAATCTAATTGGGATCTAAACGACTTTGCAGGAAAAGGTAAAACGGCATTAATGTTGTTATACGCATATTCAATTAAGTTCTCTACGGACTTATCACTAATTTTTTGTCATAATAATTGATTTCTCCTTCAGAATCTGAGCTGTGGTAGTCTATAAAGATGAGAATGGTAAAATGAAAAGCAGGATCTAAATATTGCAGCTATTCTTTAAAATAATCTAAGCTTAGTCACTCGCCTGCAGCTTTTTTTAAGAGACCTTGACAAAAAACAAATGCATCTTGAAGATGGGCTTGTGCATTGGCGCTTCTATATAGGAACGTATGTAATTCAGTAATAGCATCGAGGACTGACTGACAGAAATCAGGGCTTTGACAGACAATAGAAGATTTATCGACTTTCCCCGGCAAAGAAGGAGTTTCACTACCTGACGTATCTATCCCATTAGCATTGGTATGAAGCAGCTTTAGAGCAAGGTCTTCCTGTAGAGGTTTCGTATCCTTATTTAGTGATGCAGACACACCAATATCAGGGACGGAGATTTTGACTAAATTGGAGTTCTCGTGGGTCTGCATCACATTATTTTCGACACAAAGACTAACCGAAGAACGCGTGAGATCGACAGACGAAAAAGGAGTACACGAAGGGCCAACAATAGCAAGTCCTTCAGTAGTAGGGCTATCAGCATTCGTATTATCAATAAGCAAGGGAGTATGTTGACCAGCCTGTAAGAAAGACGGCGTGGGGACAACTGTACAAGTCGGAATTAAAGTTGAAGCTTTTGTTTTCTCGGCATCAAGAATTCCAACGCAAGGAGTATTGAGAGATGGAGCAACGGCCTGGGAGAATTTTGGAGGTGATGATAAACTATGCTTCGGAACAAAGATAGAGCAAGATGATGCCTTGTGCTGGCTACAGGTAGCAACGAAGCTAGCAGGAAATGTGACAAGAAAACCGAATCCAGCCAAGTGAATAAGGCTATTTGCAAGGCCGGTATGCTGAATTCGACACTAAAAATAAGAGTTTGAAAAAGAAAAAAAAGATAAATCAAGCGAATAAATATAAGATGTAAAAAGGGGCATGACCTAGTTTTCGCAACTTATTCGTGTTGTCATGGCGATCAAGTTGGACAAACATTATCCGAAATCCTCTACCATAGTAGATTAAAAAAATTCCTAGCGCAACCACTAAGCTGCAACCTGTCAGAGACAAGTCAAATCAAACTCTTGACCAACTTTCTGCCTGATGGCTGTGCTGTCGCCCCTTTTTCTGTCCTGGCACATCTATCTATCCTCGTACCTCACTAACGACCTATCACAAACTCCAAATTTTTATATTTCCTACTCCTCAAATAGTGTGCCTTTTTGGCGAGTTTAGTGTAGCGTCAGCAAACCTGCTTCCTACCTTCCATCCCCCTTCCCTTCGATTTGCGGATCACTCGGATCTCTTATCAGAATCTCCCTCATGGGCCCGGAGTGATCTCACTCGACTGCTGACTCCAGGCTCTTTGTCTCAAGTGTTTAGTAGTTTGTACACTATGGTCTCATCGAACAGAGCGCTTAAACTCTGATTCCCACTCTTGCAGATATCAGGCATTGTCTCCATGACTTATCTGCTTCATTCAAACCAGCTACTCTGAGCAAACTGTGAACGTCTATATGCAGAAAAACTGGGTTTCTAGACTATACTAATTGAGAACGTCTTCGCTTGATTTCCTAAAGTCCCTCACTTGAGATTCCTTGTCCTTTATACAGTCATAATCTTTTCGTTGGTCTTGTCATATCTTTATTTTCTACGAGTTTTGTTTAGGCAATAAGCATAGCTATCGCTAACTCTGCCTTGCTCCAATCCTCTGTACATTAAACTTCTTTCCGGGTCAAATTTATTGCGTTTCCTTGTGTTTTCACCGAATGAGGGCCTTCTTTCTGATGCCTTCTAATTAAATTCGTGTCCAGACTGTGCAATGTGTCGAGCTATTTCTGATCTTTTAGTTTCCATTTACCTGCAAGGCTTTTGATATTCATTGATTCTTTCTCATTTTACGTAGGCAAACATGTGAAGAATGCTTTTTATTCTCCGTGATCACCTGAATATTGCATTTACTTAAGGTTGGCTGTAGTTTTTTAGTTAGTTTGCAGAGAAGACACATCCACTTTTGTAAGTCATTTTCCGTCCTTGTTTTCATTTCACTCCCCGTCCTGCCATCTGTTTGTAACAGCCAGTATCCTTCTTTGTATCACTTCTCTCGGATATCTGTTTCTAAATTAATTTTCCCCATTCTTTGCTCCAGAGTTGTAGGCTTCTGATGATCGTGACTCCGATCTTCAGGCTAAAGTTTTGATGAGACTGGAAAGAGAGTATTAGTTTGGCATATGACTTCTTTCTGAACAACTTTCTCATTAGAGCAAATGACTTCAACATACAGGAAAGGTAACCGTTCCTCTTCCAATATTAAATCGTGAGTTTGATCCTTTCATCAATATGGTTTAAAAAATTTCGGGAAATAGTCCATATTTTCTCTTCCTCACAGCCAGATGCAACATGAGCATCCTTAAATCTTCTTCTAATTTGTTCATGTATACGCTTGCGAAAATAGGAAAGCACGGAAACAATAGGGAGTCAAAATATTTGTTGATAGAGGTT